TATAGAAAGCCTGTATACAAGACTAAGGAGTTTAGAGAACTATTGAAGATTTTGTTTTGCTTTATTTTTAACATAGAGTCCTATTGTGAGCAGACTATGCACAGAATTGATAAAAATTGATAGGTGTATGACAGATGGTTTGGGAGAGATAGTGAATAAAATTAGGAAGATAAGTTAGGAGGTTATTGCCACAGCCCCTGTATTAGCATGGTATCCGTGAGAGTAAAAAGAAGGGACCAGATATAGAAGAAATTGTGGAAGTATTGACAGGACTTGGTAATTAATTGCATGTGATATCGCAAAATGAAAGGTAACCTAATCCTCTTCCAACTTCCCATATCTCCAATCAATTACCAGGTCTTATTGATTTCCTCTTTATCTCCTACTTCCATTGCCTTCTCTCCACTCACTCAGACACCACCCTAGTTGAGGCTTCTTCACCTCTCCAATGGACTATTGCAATCGTCCCCCAAATAGTCCCTCTTGCCTCAAGCCTCTTCCCTCTTCCATCTATCCTCCACACAAGCTGTCAAAGTGATATTTCTAAAGCACAAGTCTGACCTTGTCACTTCTCCACTCTGTAAACTCCAATGGCTCCTTCTTATCTCCAGAATCAAATTCAAACATTTCCACGGTATTTAAAGTTCTTCACAACCTGGTCCCAACCTCCTTTCCAGGTTTATTTTACAGTTATCCCTTTCATGTACTCTATGGGCTGGCCAAACTAGCTATATTATTATTCCTCATATACGATATTCTATTTCTTGTATTAGACTAACCCCCATGTTTAGAATGCACTCTCCCAACCTCCACCTTTTAGAATCCTTAGTTTCATTCAAAATTCAATGCTGCCTCCTAGATGAAACCTTTCCCTGTCCCCACCTCCACCCCAGATGCTAATGTATCACCCTTCAAAATGACTTTGTATTTATTTTCATTTTCACCTAATAGACCATAAGTTTCTCAGGACAGGAAATACTTCATTTTCTGACTCTACATCCTCGACACTGAACATACTACCTGGTGCCTACATTCTTAATAAATCCTTGTTGACTAATAACCCCAGGGTTTCAAACATGAGAGATTAGATATTTCTGGCCCAAATAGAGAAGCCATGAGTAGAAACAGGCTTGGAGAAAACATAAATTCAACTTTGGACATGGTGAATTTGTGGTGCCCATGGGACATCAAGATGATGATATACTGAGAGGGGATGGAGATGCAAGTCAAATACTAGAGAATAGACATGACAATGATCTACTGTCTCTATTCTACATAGAGGCAATAGCTAAAGATAAGAAACTGAATGAGACTGATAAGGGATTGAACAAAAGAAAATGAAGAAATCTCTGACAACACCTTAGAAGAAATGATTTGTAAACCATGAAGCACCATATAAATGTCAACTAACATCTACCTTAAGGGTTTAAGAAGAAAAGGAACCAGCAAAGATGTCAGAGAAGGACACTGAGGAAGGAGGAGAACAAGGAGGGTATGGTACTGAAGAGGATAAGGGAGGAGAGACAATATAGGACAGAACCATCCTTTCCAACACTCTCAAGCCTCATTGTCCTTTCTGTCTTCTCAAGAAATACAGAGCAGTCAGCAGCCTCTTGTAGTTTATTATTTTACAACTTACTTTTCAGGAATATACAGACTTGCTAATAAAAAAAGGAAAATTTCAAAAGATCTAGATTCCAATTATTTTTTTCCTTTAGTAAATGGGGCAACAATCCCCAAGATAAATGAAGTTTGCCAAGAATTTAATTGGGCATGCATTTATTAAGCTCCTAATATGTTCTGGGTACTGATAATATGGCAGCAGACCAGGACCAAATTTCTCTTAACATAATTCTTAATCCTTATTCCATCCATTTTAGATTGAAAATAACAAGGGACAAAGTGGGGGGGGGGTTTATACAAATAAACAAGGTATCTACTTTCTAGATTTATCCATGTCATTCTATTTTTTTTTCTGATATCAGGAGAACTTTCTGCTCTTCCTCACTGCCTAATTCTGACCTTTTTTAAATATAAAGGAAATCTGTCCATTCAACAAATGTACAAAGACAGTAAACTGCACATAAGTCATCATGGCAGGCACTGAGGGATATAAAGATGTATCTGTAATATGATCCTTATTTTCAAGGAATTTGTCCTTTACTTATATCTCTTTATGTTTTTTTAATGTTTTCTAGTTTTCCATTATATTGGTATAGTTGTACTAAGTCAAAGATTATTGATGATTCCTGATAAAATATTTTTTGTTTTGTTTTCAATTCATTTATTTATTTTTAGTTTTCAACATTCACTTTTATAAGATTTTGAGTTCCAAATTCTCTCCCCTTCCTCCTCTCCCCAAGATGGCATGTAATCTGATATAGGCTATGTATGTACAATCATATTAAACATATTTCCACATTAGTCATGTTGTGAAAGGAGAATCAGAACAAAAAGGGAAAAGCACGAGAAAGGAAGAAAAAAAGAAAATAGTATGCTTCAATCTGCACTCAGACTCCATAGTTCATTTTCTGGATAGGGATAGCATTTTCCATCATGAATCTTTTGGAATTCTCTTTCAGGGGTAGGGAACCTGCCACATGTGGCCTCGAGGCCACATGTCTTAGATCACCACTCCTGTCTTAGATCCTTGCATTGCTGAGAAGAGCTAAGCCTATCAAAGCTGGTCATCACACAATGCTGCTGTTACTATGTACAATGTTCTCCTGGATCTGATCATTTCACTCAGCATCAGTTCATATAAGTCTTTCCAAGTTTTTCTAAAATCCACCTGCTTATCTTTTCTTATATACAATACAATACAATACAATATACAATACAATTTCTTATATGTAATACAATGAAACACAATAGTATTCCATTACATTCATATACCACAACTTCTTCAGCCATTCCCCAATTGATGGGCTCAATTCCCTCAATTTCTAATTCTTGGTTATCACAAAAAAAGCTGCTATTCTTGTACATGTGGGTCCTTTCCCCTTTTTTATGATTTCTTTGGGATACAGACCTAGTAGTGGTATTGCTGGATCAAAGGGTATGCCCAGTTTTATCATCCTTTGGGCACAGTTCCAAATTGTTCTCCAGAATGGTTGGATCAGTTCACAACTCCACCAACAATGCATTAGTATTCCAATTTTCCCCCATCTTCTCCAACATTTATCATTTTCTTCTTTTGTCATGTTAGCCAGTCTGATAGGTGTGATGTAGTACCTCAAAGTTGTTTTAATTTGCATTTCTCTAATCAATAGTGATTTGGAGCATTTTTTCATAGGACTATTGATAGCTTTAATTTCTTCATTTGAAAACTGTTTATAGCCTTTGATCATTTATCAATTGGGGAATGACTTGTATTCTCATAAATTTGACTCAGTTCTTTATATATTTTAGAAATAAGGTGTTTCTCAGAGACACTGGCTATACAAATTATTTCCCAGCTTTCTGCTTCCCTTCTAATCTTGGTTGCATTGCCTTTGTCTGTGCAAAAACTTTTTAATTTAATGTAATTAAAATTATCCATTTTGCATTTCATAATGTTCTCTATCAAATACTTTTAAAATTCCAGGCTCAGTCCACGCCTTCATGCATCATTTGCACATATGTCATCCCAAAGGGGAATCTCTTGACAGGTTATCCATTGAAGATTGAAAGTTTTCTGAATTTCCCACATGTTGTTCAGATATTTAATGCCTCTAATTGCTTAAGATTTATTTTAGCATACTTCAGAACCACACCCTAACATACTAGCTTCTGTTGCTTATTCTTATCCTAACAGTTGTGGCAATTTGCAACTTATAAGGCACCCAAAATGCACATCAATTAGAAATATTTTTTACACAGAGAATAAAGTCTAAACCTAATTTTATGTGCTATAAAGCAAATTAATGGCTTCAGGCATTTCAATCTTAAATTAATTAGAGGGCTAATTTGCAGCTTCGAGAAGATAATTTCACCTATACTCTACGTAAGAGATTTCCTCTAAAAAACTAGGGTATGTCAAAAGGACACACAACCACACTTATGTGCAATATGTTAAAGCATTACTTATGGGAAAGGTAGAAAGATAAAAAAAAATCCCATGGCAAAAAAAAAAAAGGTAGGAAGACAGAAAAATCCCATGACAAGCTCTGGATTTGGGCATGGATAGGGGCCTGCTCTTCCTAGTGGTTTCCCCTCAAACTATCAAGTGCTGTCCTGGAATACTTCTTCCATTGGCTAGCCCCACAGCTATGATAGGCAGCTAGCTGCTCATTGGCTATACCCTTCCCTCCCAACAGCTGTCAAATAACCACAGCCTATCCCTTAGCAAAACAATTAAGCCTTTTAAATTAAATATATTTTCATATTTCTTGAAGCCTTAAGAAACCTTTACATTTAGCCTATCTCCAACATCTGCAAATTACCTCAAGAAGGTATATCAAAATAAGCCTAGTTATACATGTTAAATTACCTAATTCCCCACTTTTTTTGTCTGTTTCATCAAACTCCATCTTTTCTTTCAGTGTTTCATAACTGAATGAAATTTCAGTAAGCCTTCCCCAAACATACACACACCACACACACACACACACACACACACACACACACACACACACACAAACACACACACACACTACTCTTATTAGCAATGCATTGCATCCCTAAAGCTAAATCTAACATCAATCTTGTATTTCTTAAAGCAAACTTTTAGGAAATTTATATACATCATGTTTTTTAATTGACTTAAAAGTTACTCTGATGAGATAAATAGTTAAAATTCAGCTCTTAATACTAGGCATCAAACACTAAAAAGGTCCTATGTAAGTATTTGAATTAGATGGTTGACAACGGCTCAGTAGTTAGTTTTTTTTTTTAAGGGCCTCAACTCAACAGACAGAAAGAAAAAATTTTTTTCCTGTTTCATTCACCAAGATTTTGAATAGACTGCTAGGAGAGAGAAAAGGCCCCTTCGGCCAGAAGCCTACTGCTGGAAGACTTACATAAAGAGGTGCTTCACGGGAGCTCAACTCCATTATTATTTCAGCATCTGCAACACAAACAAGTCAAAGAAGTTACTGAACAAGGTACCACATAACAGGTCAGCAAAGTCTCTTTCAGTTTACTCCCTTCAAATGTTACGGCTGTTGTAAAAAAAAAAAAGGACTACATACATTAAATAGGCAATCAGCAGAAACGTAAATGAGAGTTTATTTTAAAATGTATTAAGAATTTATAAAGAGATTATAATTTATTAATTGTTGGAATTTATTTTAAAAATACCATAAATGAGAATACAATGTGCCCTCTAGGATGTCCTTAATGTCTCTTCACAGGAGCTTTTTTAATAAAAGAATCCCACTTCCTTAAGCCACTGATGGCTTCCATGAACTATCACATAAATCTGAAAGATTTAAGTTTAATTCATTTGTTTTCCTGGGAGGTAGGGAGGAAATCTGGTCTTATTTTTTCACTGGTCTGGGAAGAGCCAATATGGAGACTCCCCCATCAACCAATGAAGATCAGCCCCTAATCTGCAAGAGACAGTCTTAGAGAGTTAGGTACCTGGGGCACTGAGAGGTGCAAGGTCTTGCCCAGGATCATACAGTCAGTATTATGTTAAAGGCAGGACTTGAATCCAGGATTTCTGATTCTGAGACCAACTTTCTGTGCACTGTGTCATGCTGCTTCTCAGTATCTCTTAGAATACTAAGAAAAATAAACACTTGTTTAAAGTCTGGTCTTAAATTAATCCCCTTCCATCCTAGTTGTTAACACAAAGAGGGAAAAAATAAAGCTACAACAACATTCTTGCATAACTGAAACATTTTAGTAAATTAATCAACATTGTCCAGAATTATAATAATCATAATCACAATAATTTTATCAGACTTGAGATCTCATTGGTGTAAGAGACTCCTGGGAAAGAACTTCTTTGATAAAGGCAGATTTGTATCTTCACTAAAATTAATAATCGTAGGAGCTGATTGTAGTTCTGAAAAATTCCGTGACTAACCCACAGTCACATAGCTAGCATATGTAAAAAGTAGGACTTAGACCCAGGTCTCCCTAACAGAGAAGCCAGCTCTCTATCCACTATACCACACTGCTTCTCCATGAAAATTATTCCATAACCATAATAACAAAAACATAGGCTTTACTTTTCTACAAAGGCCAACACTATGACAGCTCAGTCAGTCAAGCACAATGCCTGGCACACAGTAGGAACTTAATAAATGTTTACTGATTGACTAGGTTGCTAGTCAATCACATGTTGCTAGGTGGATAAACCATGCTGCTTCTTTAAGTAAAACCTCTCTGCTAAGTATATGGAAGCACAGCTTTGATCTGCCCCTCTACCTAACCCTTTAAGGATGTTACTTCAGCAGACTGAAAGCTGTTCAGAATCACCAAAGTATCTTCCTGGGAAAAGTAAGTAAGATGCTTTGGTCCTAAAAGTCATAGGGCATTCCTCCTAATTTGTAATTTTTGTTTATTTTTTTTAAACCACCATAATATGTTGGAAATTATCTACTAAAATGCCCCCATCATATTTTGGGGAAAGTGGAAAACAATGTGATTATTTCTATTATTTCTATTATTTTAATATTTCTATTTGTATTATGAAGATTGTAATCTTAAAGTGAGCCATCAATACATTTTACTTTACTTTTAGATCACAAGTTGTACAAGAAAAACTACATTCAGAAAACGCAAAAATTACGTCAACTGTAAGTGAATCATTCTATAACAAATGTAAAAGAAAAAAAGAAAACATATGAGGAAAGTTGATAACCATCAAATAAAATTTTTAAATCTTGACATGAATGACATGGTATTTAAATTCACCAACACGAACCCCCAAAGAGACTCTAAGCTCTTTGAAGGCAGGGACTTTTTTTCATTTTTGTCTTTGTATGCCCACTGCCTGACACTGATCGTCAGTTACAGCAACCCGTCGGTGCCCCTACAGGGGGTCGCAGCTTGCAGAAGCTTGGCAGAAAGAACAAGGAGAGCCCAGCAGTTACTGGGGTCGAGCTTGGCCACGGCTTCAGCCTGGAGAAGGAACATCAGGAGTGACAGTGCCTGAGGAGAGCTCAGAGACAGTGCAGCCACCGAGGGCTCTCACTCCCCCCCCACAGAAACAAGGACCACCTCTAGCTCAGAATCCAGCAGGGCCCCCAAAGCTCTCAATAAAGAGTGAAGAAGACAGGAGTGTGAGCAGCGTGTGAAAAAAATACTTAAATCTCCGCCTTGCCAGAAAGTTTCTGCTCCTTAACTACACTACCCCAGGTTTCCTTTAGGATGCCAGTGTGTCCATTGCTAAGGAAAAAGGTGGTTGTTGTTATGCTGTCGTTCAGTTGTGTCCCACTCTTCACGATCTCACGGACCATAGCACGCCAATACCGTACACTGGGTTTTTCTTAGCAAAGATACTGGAGTGGTTTGCCATTTCCTTCTCCAGTGAATGAGAAAGATACCCAAATGCTATTTCTAATCCTCTGATTAAGGGCACATAATTCTGATGCTTTCCCTCCACCTGTAGAAGAAAAGACAATATATGTTGGGGATATGAGAAGACTATTCTCTATTCACTATTTCCTGAAAAGAACTACTTCTTTTGGAGAGAGGAAACTAAGGCACAAACAAAAAAGTAAAGTAAGTCACTTGCCCAGGGTCACACAGCTAGTAAGCTGAAGTGGTTTCTTAATTCATTTCTTCTGTCTCCAAATCCAGGGCCTTCTCCATTACACCAAGCTCCCTTTCTCATTACAAAACAATAATGATTTTCTTTTTTTTCCTATCACTGAAAAACTGAATTAATCCCTAATTTACCCATGTAGATAAGTTTCTTGTCCCTGGAGGAGTTGTGGAGAAAATTTAAAGAGATAAAAAATATGATAGATACTCTAAACCCACCTGGCTTCTCTAATTGTATTTTTTCCTTTATTTTTTGCAAACGAATTCCCCTTTCTCAGCAAAGGGCAACAAGTTCTGTATTTACTTGTAGAACTGAATCGCTAATCCAAGCAACTTTTACTTTAAGCTTAAGAATAAAAGAGAATTTTATATATGCTAGACAAGTTACAACTGGCTGCTCCTCATGCATTATCTCTGTGCCCTAAATACCAGGCAGAGAGGCCCCATTACACCTCACTTTATTTTCTAATGATATATTTTCCACTGAGATGCCATGAAACATATATTTTTTTAACATAGCAGGTGACACTGAAAATATTTAGGATACTGAAGAAAGGCTTCATGCTGGTATATTATTTTTTAAAAATAACACTGTAGTTTAATTTACATTTTCCTAAACAGTTTCAGGAGAAAACAAGAGTTAATGTCTGTCCAAAAGTTGGCTGGCTAGTCCTGGGGAAGAGTTTCTAGTACAAAAACTTTGGGTTTAGTCATATTTCTGGTTTTGTGTTGTTTTAGTTTTTTTTAATTTCATTCCCACAACCAAATTCTTAAAAAAGATTCTAGGGTACGATGTACAACAATATACAATGTTGTTGGTTTATAGTACCAGTCATATTGAACATTCATTTCTTTGGTTGTTATAACACACAAAATGAAATATTAGAACATGCTTGGCAATGAGAACAAAAAGTAGGGATATAAAATAACAACTAGAAAGTAAGAAGGAAGGAAGGAAATAAGCATTAATTATGTACCTTCTATGTCCAGGCACTAGGCTAAGCACTTTAAAAATATTATCTCATTTGATCCTCACACATATGAGAGATAGGTTCTATTTTTATCCCCATTTTACTGTTGAGGAAATTGAGGCAGACAGAACTGAAGTGACTTCACCAGGGTCATACCACTAGTAAGTGTCCCAGGACACATTTGAACTCAGGTCTTCTGATTTCAGACCCAGGGCTCTATCCACTGCACCACCTAGCTGTCTCCAATGAGATCTGACATACACTGGTCAGAACAAACCATTTCTTTGTTTTTTGAAAGACAAGATTTCTCACATTTCAAGATCCAAATGAAATGCAACAGATGATGTTTAAGAAGGGGAAAAAAATATGCTGTCAAGTTTGTGGATCCTTGTGTGTACTAATCATTCTTTCTGCTTAACAACATGGTCCTATGGAAAACAGCAAATTTGAGGTTAAAAAACAAAACAAAACAAACCCTGGATGCACATTCCAGTGCTGCTGCTTACTAGCTCTTTGACCCTGAACAAGCAAGTTCACCCCTTAGCCATCTCAGGTTCCTCATACAATGGTGGGGTTAGACTAGGGGATCCTTTGACATTTCTTCTCAGTAATCTAGGAAATAATGTTATCCTGATGAAGTTATATTTCACACACCCAGAAAGATATTATCTTGCCCAGGTCCAATAACAATCTAAGATAAGCATAATAATAAGGATTTTGGATTTCTTTCACTTACACTATCTAAAGAAAAAGAGCACCCCCCAAAAAATAGGCAGAATGATCAAAAGTTTGCTTAGAAATAAAAATTAGGCTTTCCTAAACAAAGTTGAATGAAAGAAGACAAAAGATTTTTGATAAATTAACAAGCTGTTGGGAAAACCAACAGTCTGCAGAAATATTCTTCTGCCTAGAGCTATTGAACTATTCAGGTGTACACAGCTTAAGGTAAACTGAAGAGATAGCTATCTAATGACTCAGGCTATGAGGAGATGCTTCAAGATTAGAAAAAAAGCAATAAAATCAATTGTACAATAAAACCTCATTAATTCAAATTGGGCATGAGGAATTAGTGCATGGTCTAAACTAGAGGTCATAAATTTTAACAGAAACTCCATGCTTTGTTCACAGAATCACAAATTGCTGACAAAACCTTCTGCCAAACCCAACAAATAAGTAAGTCATATGTAATTATCAGTCCTATTTATAAGGGAATGATGTGCCAAAAAAATTAAGGTCTTGAAGTAGGTGGGTTAAATACGCCCCCACTGCAATCTGGTATACTACTGACAATCCTTCATCAGAGTTAATATGGAAATCAATCAGCAAATACTTTCTGAGTTAATACTATGTACAAACACATATAAAAAGTTCGACATCA